CATACATATCTTTTACCAGAAGATTTTTACTATAAATATATTACCTAGATTACATTTCAGGAACACAATATGATTTCATAGATTTCTCAAGAGTTAACACTTGTAACAAAATGATTCAAAGTGAGCACATTTTGCACATGATTGTCTCCGGATCTGTAATCAGTCAAACCTACATAGAGAGAGCTGTAACCGTGGTGCTGAAACGTTTAGTTTTGCGCCATAATTAAAACTTAATATTTGACACCATAATGTATGCGATGCTCATCAATGATAAAATAGCATTCCGAGGAAGATTTGTTTTTCGTATGATAAATAAATATAGGTTTAGAGACTCTTGATATGATGACATGTAAGTGTAACTAGATAGAAACAACTCTTGGTGCCGCTGTGGGCTAGCACAAAAGCAGCACATCTCCACCCACTATTACTGCATAAATATCAGTTATAGTTGTTCAGAGGAATCCGCTCGTTGCACGAATTCTATTTTGTTTCCATCCTTTAAGAAATCTTTAATGTTTTTTGGAATAATACTTTGTTTTTGTACACAGCAATTTCTTCTCCTTCTTACGGGTCTTTTGTCCCATGATGGCAGACGGCAAAAGATTTCCGGCGGTAGACCCGATCTTCTGCTTTGCTTGCTTTGTTGTAACACTGCAGCTCGCTTACGGAGATCTGAGCTATTCTTTTCCCGAGGAGATGAAACGAGACTCCGTGATTGGAAATATAGCCAAGGATCTCGGTTTTGATCTGATGACTTTATCTTCCCGGAAAGCTCGTGTTGATTTTGAGGGATCTCGTAAAAGCTACTGTAATATTAATCTGAGAACGGGGGATCTGATCACACCGGAAAGAATCGACAGAGAAAGCCTTTGTGCCAAGAAACCTTCATGTGTTGTGCAAGTGGATCTGGTGTTAGAAAATCCGTTAGAGCTTCATCGTGTAAGTCTTCATATACAAGACGTGAACGACAACTCGCCAAAATTCAAAAAGAATTTGATTGAGATGGAAATACGCGAGTCGGCAGACAGAGGTAACCGCTTCTCAATAGAGCAGGCCCGTGACGCAGATATAGGTCAAAATGCTGTGCAAAGGTACGAGCTTCAAAAGAACGACAACTTTATTCTGGCTGTTGACAGCAACAAGGTTGAACTCGTACTGGAAAACACTCTTGATAGAGAGAAACAAAGCGAGATGAATTTACTTCTCACAGCTTTGGACGGTGGATCTCCTCAGAGATCCGGTTCCGTAGTCATACGCGTCACTGTGCTGGATGCCAATGATAACGCCCCAGTGTTCAGCCAGGCCGTTTATAAAGCCAGTCTGCCTGAAAACTGTCCTTTAGATACAACAGTGATTAAAGTCAGTGCGACAGACGCAGACGAAAGACTGAACGGAGATGTAACGTATGACTTAAGTCAGGTGTCTGACGACGACATAAATGTATTTTCAATTGATCCTAAAACGGGAGAAATTAAAGTAACTGGTGTAATTGACTTTGAAGACAGAAATTCTTTTGAAATGAGAGCAGAAGCGAAAGATGGTTTAGGTCTAACTTCTTACGCCAAAGTGTTAATAGATGTGACTGATGTAAATGATAATGCACCAGGGATATTTGTAAAATCACTCACTAACCCCACACCGGAGAACGTACCAACTGGTACAGAGGTGGGCATTATTAATGTGCAGGACAGAGACTCCGGGAATAACGGGCAGGTCCACTGTTCGATCCAGCAGGGTGTCCCCTTTAAGTTGGTTCCTTCTATTAAAAACTATTATTCTCTGGTGACCACTGGACAACTGGACCGTGAACTAGTGTCTGATTACAACATTACAATCACTGCCACTGACGAGGGCTCTCCACCTCTGTCCTCTTCTAAAAGTGTTCAGTTATCTGTAGCAGATATCAACGACAACTCACCTGTGTTTGATGAGCAGTCGTACAGCGCATATGTGAGTGAGAATAACAAACCTGGCTCCACTTTATGTTCCGTTAGTGCTCGAGACCCCGACTGGAGACAGAACGGTACAGTGGTTTATTCTCTGTTAGCTGGTGAGGTGAACGGTGCCCCGGTGTCATCCTATCTGTCTGTGAACGGAGACACGGGTGTGATCCACGCTGTGAGGTCGTTTGATTATGAACAGTTCAGGAGCTTCAAAGTCCATGTGATGGCCAGAGACAACGGTTCTCCTCCTCTCAGCAGCAACGTGACCGTGAGTGTGTTCATCTCAGATGTGAATGACAACTCTCCTCAGATCCTGTACCCCTCCCCAGAGGGCAATTCCTTCATGACCGAGCTGGTCCCCAAAGCTGCACACGGAGGCTCTCTGGTGTCCAAAGTGATCGCGGTGGACGCAGACTCAGGACAGAACGCCTGGCTGTCCTATCAAATAGTCAAATCCACTGATCCGGGAATTTTTACCATTGGTGTCCACAGCGGAGAGATCAGGACACTGCGGGACATTTCTGAATCTGACAGCATGAAACAGAACCTTGTAGTGGCAGTGAAAGATAACGGACAGCCCTCTCTGTCTGCCACCTGTTCCATGTATTTACTTATTTCTGATAACTTGGCTGAGGTGCCAGAACTGAAGGATCTGTCTTATAATGAGAGCAATTCCAAACTGACTTCTTATCTGATCATTGCGCTGGTGTCTGTGTCCACATTTTTTCTGACTTTCATTATCATCATCCTGGGTTTGAGGTTTTGTCGCAGGAGAAAGCCCAGACTGTTATTTGACGGAGCAGTGGCCATCCCCAGCGGTTATCTCCCTCCTAATTACGCAGATGTTGATGGCACAGGAACTTTACGCAGCACTTACAATTATGATGCGTACCTGACCACAGGTTCTAGAACCAGTGACTTTAAGTTTGTGACATCGTATAATGACAACACGCTGCCTGCTGACCAGACTCTGAAGAAAAGTCCATCAGACTTTGCTGATCCGTTTGAAGTTGTGGAGGCTTTTGATGAGGTAGGGATGCTCAGAACCTTTCCATTTAAGTTAAACGTCTTTAATATTTCTCTGGCTACATTGTTCTTTCACTAATTACAATCTAAGAGGCATCGTTACACGGTCAATCGAAGTTGTTTGTCGCAACACGAGGGTATGAAACAGTGTATTTAGTGTTTGCCCCTTAAATTCACTATTCCCACAATAGTTATGGCAGGAAAAAATTGCCACCATCGCCAGCTCGGAAATTTCACTCAACGAAATAACTAAAAGCACCAGTAAGGCGCACAGGTTCGTTCCACTAAAGATGTGGCAGGAGACAAGGTTCCGAAATTCGGAAATGCAACCTTAGTATTCTAAAACAAAGCAATACCCCCCCCCCCCCCCCCCCCCCCCCCACCCACCACCACCACCACCACACACAAACCAAAACAAAACAAAGCTAGTTTTTAAATTTCTATACATTCAACCATGTGGGTGGCGTTAATGCTTTAATGTAACTTTACACCAAGGAATCCTATAATAGGCTACATTAACGTAACAACAGTTCTAGCGAAATAAATTAAACGATTCTTGGTGAAATAAATATAATTGCAACATTAACCTTACATCAGACATGTACAGAAACTTACATAAATTAAAATAATTAAGGTCTCAATTAGGATGTCGAACACGGTCGCAGCTGAAGTGGCAGAGCGATGAGCGAAGCACCGCTGACGCAAACAATGCCAGTGAACAAATCATAACATAACAAAAAAAGAAATAAAGCAGCATAAACGAGAACCAAAGAGAAGTACAAAACGGAGAAACACAACAGCGAGTTATCCTGAAGAGAGGCAGCAGCTTTCATATATGAAAAGTGACATATTACATTTAATAAATCGGCAATTTAAATGCAAAGCCGAACCCAGAGGACAGGTTAGCTAATACATACCAGGCCCACTGAACTACTCCACCTAGACAGGAGAGGAGCGCTTCCCAACCCAGCAGCAACAGATGACACAACATGCCAGCAATTTCTACCTTGCAAACAGTTCGAGGCAGAGAATAGTTTATGTCCAAAACTACCAATATTGAGAAGAGCGCGATACATACCTCTTCTGTTGTATCATGCTCGCCTGGGAGGTGGAATGGTTAACTGTGGTTAACTTCACACCCCAGCACAAAAAGGAGACGCCACAAGTAAGAGGCTTCTGGACTGATGGAACATTCTTACAAGACTTTGCCACGTTTAATCGATGGTAAGGTCTTAGGAAGTGTAATTAAAAACGGGATATTGTCTCTGTGTCAGCCCAGGCATGGTTTTCGTTTCATGACTATGAATGGACGAATTATTATTATTATTATTATTATTATTATTATTATTATTATTATTATTATTATTATTGTTACATACTCTTGAAACAGTTGGCCCTAACAAGATAAAATGTAAAAACAGCTCTGTGTGGCACTGAAAGGCTCTTCTGGTGTTCTCGCGCAGCCCAGTAGGAAAATGTATTTTTGTGTCTCGGTTATTCAGAACGCATTTCTGTTATATTAATTATTTTCATATGTAACAAATTGTATAATGTATTGTAACTCATCCAAATGCCCTGACGCACTTTAGGACAATGTGTTCTTTTACTGTTAAAAATGTACAGTGTTTATACACTCAAAGTTATGTTGGCCCTCTCTTTTGGAGATTTAAACATTTCGCAATAATAATGTTTAGGAATACGGTTTATGCAAACTTTTACCTAGCAAAAGCAAAGGCATTATATGTATAAGTTACAATCCAAATCTCGTTTACACGGACAGGCATACGGTATACCTGTGAAGTGAAGACCTTCATCCTGTGCTTAGTCTATTATATTGCAGAAATCACACGGAAGTTTTAAGATGATAATCACAGGTAATTTAAATATGATGAATTGCTGCCACAATCCGGATTTAAATTGCGAAAATATTTCAATACGTTCTGGTGTGAAGATGATAAAGTAACTCGTGGTGTCGCCCTTGTCTAACAGAAAATAATCTCTCGCCACTCCACCCACTATTGCATCGAAATCAGTTGTAAAGTGTCTGGATAATCTGGTAAAATCCCGGATAGAGATGTCGCAAATTGTTACCAGATAACCGAACATTTAGTTGTCTTGGTCCGACCTTCTTTTTTGTGCTGCACAGTACATTTTCTTTGAAATTGACGGTCGCTTTTTGTCAAGATGCGGGACAAAGGATTTTCAGCGCAAGGCCCGATCTTCTGCATTTCTTCCATTTTTGTAACACTGCACCTCGTTTGTGGAGATCTGAGCTATTCCTTTCCCGAGGAGATTAAACGAGACTCAGCAATGGGAAATATAGCAAAGGATCTCGGTTTTGATTTGAGGACTTTATCTTCCCGGAAGGCTCGTGTTACTTTTGAGGGCACTCATAAGCGTTACTGTGATATTAATATGAGAACGGGGGATCTGATCACATTGGAGAGAATCGACAGAGAAAGCCTTTGTGCCAAGAAACCTTCATGTGTTGTGCAAGTGGATCTGGTGTTAGAAAATCCGTTAGAGCTTCATCGTGTAAGTCTTCATATACAAGACGTGAACGACAACTCGCCAAAATTCAAAAAGAATTTGATTGAGATGGAAATAAGCGAGTCAGCAGTTAAAGGTAACCGCTTCTCAATAGAGCAGGCCCGTGACGCAGATATAGGTCAAAATGCTGTGCAAAGGTACGAGCTTCAAAAGAACGACAACTTTATTCTGGCTGTTGACAGCAACAAGGTTGAACTCATACTAGAAAACACTCTTGATAGAGAGAAACAAAGCGTGATGAATTTACTTCTCACAGCTTTGGACGGTGGATCTCCTCAGAGATCCGGTTCCGTAGTCATACGCGTCACTGTGCTGGATGCTAATGATAACGCCCCAGTGTTCAGCCAGGCCGTTTATAAAGCCAGTCTGCCTGAAAACTGTCCTTTAGATACACCAGTGATTAAAGTCAGTGCCACAGACGGAGACGAAGGAGTGAACGGAGATGTAACGTATGACTTAAGTCACGTGTCTGACGACGACATAAATGTATTTTCAATTGATCCTAAAACGGGAGAAATTAAAGTAACTGCTGTGATTGACTTTGAAGACAGAAATTCTTTTGAAATGAGAGCAGAAGCGAAAGATGGTTTAGGTCTAACTTCTTACGCCAAAGTGTTAATAGATGTGACTGATGTAAATGATAATGCACCAGTTATATATCTAAATTCAGTGTCTAACCCCACACCGGAGAACGTGCCACCTGGTACAGAGGTGGGCATTATTAATGTTCAGGACAGAGACGCTGGGAATAACGGGCAGGTCCACTGTTCGATCCAGCAGGGTGTCCCCTTTAAGTTGGTTCCTTCTATTAAAAACTATTATTCTCTGGTGACCACAGGACAATTGGACCGCGAACTAGTGTCCAATTACAACATTACAATCACTGCCACTGACGAGGGCTCTCCACCTCTGTCCTCTTCTAAAAGTGTTCAGTTATCTGTAGCTGATATCAACGACAACCCACCTGTGTTTGATGAGCAGTCGTACAGTGCATATGTGAGTGAGAATAATAAACCTGGCTCCACTTTATGTTCCGTTAGTGCTCGAGACCCTGACTGGAGACAGAACGGTACAGTGGTTTATTCTCTGTTAGCTAGTGAGGTGAACGGTGCCCCGGTGTCCTCCTATCTGTCTGTGAACGGAGACACGGGTGTGATCCACGCTGTGAGGTCGTTTGATTATGAACAGTTTAGGAGCTTCAAAGTCCACGTGATGGCCAGAGACAACGGTTCTCCTCCTCTCAGCAGCAACGTGACCGTGAGTGTGTTCATCTCAGATGTGAATGACAACTCTCCTCAGATCCTGTACCCTTCCCCGGAGGGCAACTCCTTCATGACCGAGCTGGTCCCCAAAGCTGCACACGGAGGCTCTCTGGTGTCCAAAGTGATCGCGGTGGACGCAGACTCTGGACAGAACGCCTGGCTGTCCTATCAAATAGTCAAATCCACAGATCCGGGACTTTTTACCATTGGTGTCCACAGCGGAGAGATCAGGACACAGCGGGACATTTCTGAATCTGACAGCATGAAACAGAACCTTGTAGTGGCAGTGAAAGATAACGGACAGCCCTCTCTGTCTGCCACCTGTTCCATGTATTTACTTATTTCTGATAACTTGGCTGAGGTGCCAGAACTGAAGGATCTGTCTTATAATGAGAGCAATTCCAAACTGACCTCTTATCTGATCATTGCGCTGGTGTCTGTGTCCACGTTTTTTCTGACTTTTATCATCATCATTCTGGGTTTGAGGTTTTGTCGCAGGAGAAAGCCCAGACTGTTGTTTGACGGAGCAGTTGCCATCCCCAGCGGTTATCTCCCTCCTAATTACGCAGATGTTGATGGCACGGGAACTTTACGCAGCACTTACAATTATGATGCATACCTGACCACAGGTTCTAGAACCAGTGACTTTAAGTTTGTGACATCATACAATGACAACACGCTGCCTGCTGACCAGACTCTGAAGAAAAGTCCATCAGACTTTGCTGATCCGTTTGAAGACATCACAACATCCTCTGAGGTAGAAAAACGCAACTTCTTTCCCACATATATAAACATATAAACCTAGACTTAGAACTTTTATTGTCATTGTCCAGTTTCTTGCACAACAAAATTAGGTAGGAAGACCACAAAGTGCAACAAGTAAAGAAAACAATGTACAAAGAAAAAAAGCAATATCTATCTATCTATCTATCTATAATTTTTTTCCACCAACTGTGTTCAGGAAACCATAGTTTTAAGTTTATATTTTTGAGTGAAAACAGTCACATTTAACTATTCCACTGGCTCAACATAAAACTGCCTTTCAGGGTCTGAGACAACAGCAACATCAAAGTTCCTATCAGAACTCAATCAGTATAGACAACAGTAGTGACCTGTCAAGAAACAAATATACAAAAATAAAACAAATTGTTCTTTGGAACCCATAATTCACAGTTCAACTGACAAAAAAGTACAATGTAAACTTTCATTTTAACTTTTTAAGGGAGAACATCATGAACTCACTTTGATTTCTCTACACAGCCGAAGTACACACACAGGAATCACACAGAAAGTGATCTCCCCTCTGAATCAAACAGAAAAATAAAAAGTTGTGCAAAGTGAACAACAGTGTAAACTTAACAACTCTGAAATCTGTTAGGACACTCTGTCATTACTCACACCAACCCGCTCTTCAATCCTGCTCACAGCAGGTAACCCTTGAACATACACCCGTCGCACGTTCAGAATTCTACAAAAATCATCACAAACACGGAGTCATCGCATAATAAACTTAGTTTCCTAGGCTAATTACCGTCTCCGACAACACCAACGACAATATTTTGCAGTATTTTACACTTTTCTAGCACATTTACCTCACGTGTAGATAGCCGCGCAAACTTTTGCAGCCTCTAACTCTCTAGTGTTCCCGCTTGCAGCGTGACGCGAACCTGAGTACAAGCATGGTCTGGCTTAAGGTGGCTCTTAAAGGGACGGTGTACCCCCAAAACGCAAGGTCTAATCATCACCATGACAACTCTACAAACAGACTGTTAAAACACAATCACCTCTTCTTAAACCTTTTTATGTGTAGTGTTAGTTCTCTTGGCTACAGTTTCCCCTGCTACGTGTCAACGTCCTAGGTAACCCCCTGCACATCCACCATTCCCCTAAATTTGGTGGCATAGAGAACCATACCAGCTAAGACATGGGAGACTACATCTGGACTTCAAAAGTCAACTCCCAGCCCATTGTTCCTTCAGTGGTGCTAGTTTCAGTCATTATGCAACAGTCATTAAGAACAACAACTCAGTGTTTAAGAAAAAAATGGGGCCATTTTAGCATTAATTAAACCCACAGACAAATAACTCAATTTATTTTCCAAGTAATCTAACAGTTTTTGGCTTTGCTAACATAACTGAATTTGGGATGAATTTGAACTGGGATTTATGAGCAACAGGTGAACACATGCAATTGAAACAGATATTTTACTTGCAGGAAATGGACCTCTGAATAGCTACACAGAAATTCCAACAACAAAAAAAATCTAATTATTTCCAATAATTCGTTTTTTAAAAATAAAATAACATTTGTAACATTTCTAATTTAAAAATATATTAAATGAAAATAATTTGCTTTTCATTCAAGCAAAACGACATTTCAACATGACACTGAAACTTTTGAGCAGTGGCATTGAGCGCCAATTACATTTTGTTTAAAGAAAAGTGGAAAAGTGTATTTAGAGTGCAGCAGTAGCCTGCTCATTCTTTTATAATGTCGTTTCCAGGTCTCGACAGGGTCAACTGGTGCACTTTTTAGGCAATGTGATGGAAACAAAGCTTCAGTTTCGGATGCAGCCTTGCAGTAGTTAGCTTTGGGTAGAGTTTTAAAAATAAATTAGTCTTTACAGTAGTTATCTCTCATTGATTTTAGGAGACAACATTGCCCAATAACCATGCCAAATCTTACAGTACCTGTTCATGGTCCTGAAATACGATCCAGGGTTTCTTGGAGTAAATGGATCTGGAGACTTGTTTGGTATCTCCGAAATTCCATGTGAATTTCAATAATCAAAACTGTAGGTTTGTGTAATTCAGTTACCTCAGCTTATTGTCTCAAAAAGGAGAACCTTAGAACTTTTGTGTATTACAAAAATGTAAAATAAATTCAAGAATGTTAGGGTTTGTTGAGGCTCAAACAGTATACATTTGAGGGTAACAAACCAAATATCATTTTAAATGACTGTTATGGCATGACATCGGCATCTTACTCAGGCACAGTTAGCAAGGAATGCTTAATGTGTTTTAAATAATATTCACAACTGTTAAATATGGCCGAGAGCGGTCTTGGAGTGATTTACTTTTTTGTGAATAATTGAATACTAAGGAGATTAAAAGGTGACTCGTGGTGTCGCTGTTGACTAACGGAAAATAAACGCTTGCCACTCCACCCACTCCACTTACTGATTAGATATCAAATGCAGACTGCTGGAAAAACGCATATATCCGAACCTTCAGGACCCCGTACCTTGCTGTAAAGCTGTAAGGATTGCTGTGTATTTTGGAATAGATTTCACTTTGCAACTGTGGACAGTATAATTGCTGCAAGATGGGCTCTTTTCGAGTCAGGGTGGGAGACAAAGGATTTTCAATACCAGGGCCGATCTTCTTTGCCTCCTTTATTATAACGCTGCGCATCGCTCATGGAGATCTAAGTTATAATATTCAAGAGGAGATGAAACGAGACTCCGTGCTTGGAAATATAGCTAAGGATCTTGGGCTTGATCTGAGGACTTTGTCTTCCCGAAAGGCTCGCATTGATTTTGATGGATCTCGTAAGCGTTACTGTGACATTAATCTGAGAACGGGAGATTTGATCACATCGGAGAGAGTCGACAGAGAAAGCCTTTGTGGCAAGAAACCTTCATGTGTTGTGCAAGTGGATCTGGTGTTACAAAATCCTTTGGACCTCCATCGTGTAAGTGTTCATATTCAAGATGTGAATGACAACTCGCCAAAATTCAGAGAAAATTTGATTGAGATGGAAATAAGCGAGTCAACCGAGAAGGGTAGCCGCTTCTCAATAGAGCAGGCCCATGACGCAGATATAGGTCAAAATGCTGTGCAAAGGTACGAGCTTCAAAAGAACGACATCTTTATTCTGGCTGCTGACAGCAATAAGGTTGAACTCGTACTAGAGAATAAACTTGATCGAGAGAGACAAAAAGAAATGAATTTACTTCTCACAGCTTTGGACGGTGGATCTCCTCAGAGATCCGGCACCGTAGTCATACACGTCACTGTGGTTGATGCCAATGATAACGCCCCAGTGTTCAGCCAGGCCGTTTATAAAGCCAGTCTGCCTGAAAACTGTCCTTTAGATACATCAGTGATTAAAGTCAGTGCGACAGACGCAGACGAAGGAGTGAATGGAGATGTAACGTATGACTTAGGGCACATATCTGATGATAATATGAATGTGTTTACTATTGAACACAAAACGGGAGAAATTAGAGTAACTGGTGTAATTGACTATGAAGACAGAAGCTCTTTTGAAATCCCAGTGCAAGCCAAGGATGGTTTAGGACTAAAATCATATGCCAAAGTTATAATAGAGATTACTGACATAAACGACAATGCACCAGCAGTTTCTCTGGAATCGGTGTCTAACTCCATTCCTGAAAACGTGTCGCCTGGTACAGAGGTGGGCATTATTAACGTGCAGGACAGAGACGCTGAGAATAACGGGCAGGTCCGCTGTTCGATCCAGCAGGGTGTCCCCTTTAAGTTGGTTCCTTCTATTAAAAACTATTATTCTCTGGTGACCACAGGACAACTGGACCGTGAACTACTGTCTGATTACAACATTACAATCACTGCCACTGACGAGGGCTCTCCACCTCTGTCCTCTTCTAAAAGTGTTCAGTTATCTGTAGCTGACATCAACGACAACCCACCTGTGTTTGATGAGCAGTCGTACAGCGCATATGTGAGTGAGAATAACAAACCTGGCTCCACTTTATGTTCCGTTAGTGCTCGAGACCCCGACTGGAGACAGAACGGTACAGTGGTTTATTCTCTGTTAGCTGGTGAGGTGAACGGTGCCCCGGTGTCATCCTATCTGTCTGTGAACGGAGACACGGGTGTGATCCACGCTGTGAGGTCGTTTGATTATGAACAGTTCAGGAGTTTTAAAGTCCACGTGATGGCCAGAGACAACGGTTCTCCTCCTCTCAGCAGCAACGTGACCGTGAGTGTGTTCATCTCAGACGTGAATGACAACTCTCCTCAGATCCTGTACCCCTCCCTAGAGGGCAACTCCTTCATGACCGAGCTGGTCCCCAAAGCTGCACATGGAGGCTCTCTGGTGTCCAAAGTGATCGCGGTGGACGCGGACTCCGGACAGAACGCCTGGCTGTCCTATCAAATAGTCAAATCCACTGATCCGGGACTTTTTACTATTGGTGTCCACAGCGGAGAGATCAGGACACTGCGGGACATTTCTGAATCTGACAGCATGAAACAGAACCTTGTAGTGGCAGTGAAAGATAACGGACAGCCCTCTCTGTCTGCCACCTGTTCCATGTATTTACTAATTTCTGATAACTTGGCTGAGGTGCCAGAACTGAAGGATCTGTCTTATAATGAGAGCAATTCCAAACTGACCTCTTATCTGATCATCGCGCTGGTGTCTGTGTCCACGTTTTTTCTGACTTTCATTATCATCATCCTGGGTTTGAGGTTTTGTCGCAGGAGAAAGCCCAGACTGTTGTTTGACGGAGCAGTGGCCATCCCCAGCGGTTATCTCCCTCCTAATTACGCAGATGTTGATGGCACAGGAACTTTACGCAGCACTTACAATTATGACGCGTACCTGACCACAGGTTCAAGAACCAGTGACTTTAAGTTTGTGACATCATACAATGACAACACGCTGCCTGCTGACCAGACTCTGAAGAAAAGTCCATCAGACTTTGCTGATCCATTTGAAGATCTCGATACTTCAATAGAGGTAGGATTCTGAAATAACCGGGTTATCAAAATTGCAGTGTTTTGTGTCTTTAAGTTTTTACATTTATAGTATTGTCTTTGAGAACCTGAGGCTTCTTGTTATTTACAGGGTCTTTCCTATAGTACCTCCCCTTTCTTGCATTTTTTTGTGTGTTTGTGTATGAATTTAAATTTTTTTCAAAATAACGCCTTTCATCATATTACAAACAAAGTCAATCTTGGGGGGTTGCTTATAGCGAAACGTAGCTATTAATATTAAACTGGAACGTAACCAACTTCCTTTTATTTCCAACCCGAAACTTTCAGTGTATTTTTTTAGACTCTTCTGACGACGAGTCAAGTTTCACTCTGATTTCTGGTCAGCTTTTACAACACTGCAAAGTACCTCGAAATAAACAACGGCATTAAATTAACAAGTAATGATTAGTAAATTGATGATACACTTTGTCGCATAAACCATCTGATTTACTGATGGCGGCACCAGTACTGTTAATGATCTTTCACATGAAAGACGAACAAAGGTCCTATACTCAAGATTTACTTATTAGTTCATGTAATTTCGAAAGTCCCCGTGTTAATTTTGTGGTGAAGTGGTTAACGCATTCGTTGTTTAAGGAACGGATCCCTCCTATTTTTAAAGAGGCACAGAGGGGAAACCCCGGGCTTGCGTCAGGAAGTGCATCCGACGTCAAATCAAAACGTTTAGCCGCCCACGGTAGCGATAGTCGGGGAAGTAAGTGACCAGTCGAAGGGACGTTCTGTGCGTAAATCACAATTATGTTTAATGGGTATTATTATCATCATCAATGTAGCATTAAAATGACTAAATCACTTTTTAAACTACCGAAACAATAGCTGTCAGATATTCATCACTTCCTGCTGTCAGTATTGATAATCTCATTTCTTGTGCTCAATTCTTTGTCATCTCATGTACATCCACATTGTACCTCGGTATACATTAGTGTTACCGCATGTTATAATGTTGTTCTCAAAGGTGTGTTGACAGTCTGTTGGATGGTGAGCGCTACATGTTTATTTCTATCCCATTGTGGCGCCAGAGAAGGAAACTGACAATGTAACTAAACTGATAACGCCACCTGGTGTTGGAGTTGCACCCCAGGAAATTTCACATTAACCAGTGCAAAGGTTTTATCAGTTACAAAGACACACGGGCTTGTTATTGACAAAGAAGAGGCGTGGCAAGTCATTGTCAATAGGTTTGTTTAATGCATTATCTGAATAATGTGGAGATACAAAGACAACAGCAAATTTAGTGGCAGGACTTCCAATACCACTGTACCTTTAACTAAAACATCACTACCAGACATGGCTTAAAACTACAAGACTCACTGTGTTGCTCCAAGTAAAATAGCAGCTCAACAAAAAGCCAATTAATATAGTTAAATACAGGTCACTTTGGGAGGCAACCTACAGGGAGTAGTGCCCAAGGACTGCCACCAGTTACTCACTCGTCACCTCGCATTGCAGTTGTCACTGCAACTAAAGGCGCTTTATAATCGTATCCCGGCGTTTACACTCGCATGCATAAGAGGCAACCTGACCAAATGTGCCTAGCCCCCCAGCAAGCGTCGTTCTCTAAACCTAAAGTGAAATAAACCTATAGTGAAATAAACCGATAAAGCAAGCAAGAAATAGGGAACTACTCAGGGAAAAATAAACAGAAGAGGAGTGTATGCATCTACATATAAAACCTTTAAAATACCACAGAAATGCAGCATCAGGCGCACCCACGCTTGGCCCCAACAAAGTGCGGTGTGGCACAAACGGCACAGGACAAGATTAAACATGATAAAACAAAGCAAAGTTAAAACAAAACAAGGCACTAGAGGACACTGAAAACAACAACGAGAAATAACAAGACTCAACAAGATGGCAGCAGGGTACCTATAATAAGAGAAAAGAACAGTTATCCTTGGTCCACGCTATTATTAACTAAACTGCAGACTTCATACGAGGATCCTACTAACCACTCGACTGAATTTGATCTGCAACGTTAAGATCAGGCTGTGATCGTCACCATATATGGGAGAAATGAGTACCAAACGCTAAATCAGTGAATAGGCCACAGCTGCTCCTCATAGCTAACCTCTGATTAGATCGCTAGGGTACCATTAAATGTTCACGCTGCGTTCACAGACACCATGTAGGAACAAAACATATTCTACAAAATCTAACCCACTACACTAACATGAAACTTAAAACCAACAAACATACGGATTTGTTAGGTGGTTGTCAAATGCCAGCGAGCTCATTAATACTGGTTAGCTACTAACATTTGCAGCACTGACTCTGTAAAAATGAATAGGTGTCGTGTGTTCCCGGTGAGACTGTTGTAGTCCACAACTCATGGATGACATTAAGAAAGAAGTTCAGTTTCAAATTCAAAGAAGTGCAGTGTTGACTGACTTGTACTTTACTTTGATATTTCCTTTGCTGCTTGGATATGGAACGCCAGGACGGACATAATAAATTAATTATACTATTAAATAATTAATTAAATGTGGCAATAATTATTTAATTAATTAAATGTGTCAAAAAATATTTATTTAATTAATTATTTCCAATTGTAATTAATTACTGCCACATTTAATCAATTATTTAATGGTATAATTAATTTATTATGTCAGTCCTGGCGTTCCATACTTGGACAAGTAGTACTTTGTTTGCTTTTTGTCTCAGATAAAGAAATACCATATGAAGCTTGTACAACGCAGTGTATTGTTGCAGATTTCATAAAGGTACTGTCTTGTCTTCATGGTTATGAATAGCTGGAGTTTAGCCATTAAGAGATTTCCCTTTCAACGCTTCATGTTGTTTGTGTTCAAAGTGGTGTCATCACTTCAGCATTTAAAAAGTCAAACATAACACCAAGTTCACATATAGATGTCCGACCGCGTGCGTGCGTTTCCGTTTTAAGTTACACGACCTCAGGTTTATCTCGTGACCTCTCGAACGGTGTTGAGCATATGTTATAAAGCTGTGAGTCAATGTACAAAAATGCATGTAATGTGTTTAATTATAGTTACGTCCATCAGCAGTAAGATGACACTTGTACATCGATGCATCATTCTAATAATGTCTACTCTAGTATAAGGACCGACTTTCCGCAAAAAGACTATGTCTACTTCTGATTTGTTGCTTATCTATATTTTAATGAACGTAGTTGCTATAAATCGGAAATAAATGATTGAAATTGCCATTTCAATTGCTTTTTTCTAACTGTGTGTGTGTGCGACTGTTGCAGCATTTGTCTTTTCTGTATAAAAACGGTCTAAGTATTTTCTCTGCCGCTGTCCATGGTTCTGAGCCTTGTCATTTGTATTCTGTAGCTATAATTGCTGATATTTCATGTACTGTTTAGTTTATTTTCATTATAATATACCGAGAACATAATTCACTATTCCAATTTAGTGTATCGACAGGAGTAAACACTACCTTCATGCGATTTCTTTCTTTCTTTCTTTCTTTCTTTCTTTCTTTCTTTCTTTCTTTCTTTCTTTCTTTCTTTCTTTCTTTCTTTTTTGACTTGAAGTTTTATTCAAACGCGGATGTGAAGTTAAAAAGACACATGGTGTCACTGTTGGCTGGAAGAAAAAGAACATGCAGCACTCCACCCATCATGAATTCAGTTTTTTTTTTCATTTATCAGAAACGCTAAATCCTGGGACATAGTTCTGTATAAACTGGTGTGGACTATTGGATTTCTGACTGATTTGGGATACATATGTTGTTTCGCTCTAAATAGCCAGATAAACAAGCGGAAGACGTTTCATTTCAGAATGAGAGACAAAGGATTTTCAGGCCCGATCTATTGCCTTGCTACGTTTATTGTAACGATGCGCCTCGTAAGCGGGGATCTGAGTTATTCTTTTGCCGAAGAGATGAAACGCGACTTCGTTATTGGAAATATAGCTAAGGATCTCGGTATTGACCGTGGAAGTTTTTCTTCACGACAGGCCCGTGTTGATTTTGAAGGATTTCGTAAAATGTATTGCGACATTAACATTAGTACTGGGGATTTTACTACGATGGACAGAATTGACAGAGAGAACCTTTGTGGCAAGAAACCTTCCTGTGTGTTAAAAGCAGATCTAGTTTTGGAAAATCCGTTGGAGCTTCATCGTGTTAGTCTTCATATTCAAGACATAAATGACAACTCTCCACAATTCAAAGATCATTTAATTGAAATGGAAATAAGCGAGTTAGCAGAAAGGGGAAGTCGATTTCCAATAGAGCAGGCCCATGACGCAGATATAGGTCAAAATGCTGTGCAAAGGTACATCTTACAAAAGAACAACCATTTCATTTTATCAGTTGACAACAACAACGTCGATCTTGTACTGGAAAATAAACTCGATCGAGAAAAGCAAAAGGAGATTAATTTACTCATCACAGCTTTGGACGGTGGATCTCCTCAGAGATCAGGCACTGTAGTCATACACGTCACTGTACTGGATGCTAATGATAATGCCCCGGTGTTCAGCCAGGCCGTTTATGAAGCCAGTCTGCCTGAAAACTGTCCTTTAGATACAGCAGTGATTAAAGTCAGTGCCACAGATGCAGACGAAGGAGTGAATGGAGATGTAACGTATGACTTCGGTCATATATCTGACAGCGACGATAAAGTTTTCTCTATTAATCCTAAAACTGGAGAAATTAAAGTGTGTGGTTTGATTGACTATGAAGAAAAAAGTTCTTTTGAAATGAAAGTGCAGGCTAAAGATGGTTTAGGGTTAACATCTTATGCCAAAGTTATAATAGATGTTATTGATAATAATGACAACTCGCCAGATATATACCTGAAGTCACTGTCAAATCCCATTCACGAGAATGTGCCACCTGGTACAGAGGTGGGCATCATTAACGTGCAGGACAAAGACTCTGAGAATAACAGGCAGGTCCGTTGCTCCATCCAGCAGGGTGTCCCCTTTAAGTTAGTTCCGTCTATTAAAAACTATTATTCTCTGGTGACCACTGGACAACTAGACCGCGAACTAGTGTCTGATTACAACATTACAATCACTGCCACTGACGAGGGCTCTCCACCTCTGTCCTCTTCTAAAAGTGTTCAGTTATCTGTAGCTGACATCAACGACAACCCACCTGTGTTCGAGGAACAGTCGTACAGCGCATCTGTGAGTGAGAATAACAAACCTGGCTCCACTTTATGTTCCGTTAGTGCTCGAGACCCCGACTGGAGACAGAACGGTACAGTGGTTTATTCTCTGTTAGCTAGTGAGGTGAACGGTGCCCCGGTGTCCTCCTATCTGTCTGTGAACGGAGACACGGGTGTGATCCACTCTGTGAGGTCGTTTGATTATGAACAGTTCAAGAGTTTTAAAGTCCACGTGATGGCCAGAGACAACGGTTCTCCTCCCCTCAGCAGCAACGTGACCGTGAGTGTGTTCATCTCAGATGTGAATGACAACTCTCCTCAGATCCTGTACCCCTCCCCGGAGGGCAACTCCTTCATGACCGAGCTGGTCCCCAAAGTTGCACACGGAGGCTCTCTGGTGTCCAAAGTGATCGCGGTGGACGCAGACTCCGGACAGAACGCCTGGCTGTCCTATCAAATAGTCAAATCCACTGATCCGGGACTTTTTACCATTGGTGTCCACAGCGGAGAGATCAGGACACAGCGGGACATTTCTGAATCTGACAGCATGAAACAGAACCTTGTAGTGGCAGTGAAAGATAACGGACAGCCCTCTCTGTCTGCCACCTGTTCCATGTATTTACTTATTTCTGATAACTTGGCTGAGGTGCCGGAACTGAAGGATCTGTCTTTTAATGAGAGCAATTCCAAACTGACCTCTTATCTGATCATCGCGCTGGTGTCTGTGTCCACCTTTTTTCTGACTTTCATCATCATCATCATCCTGGGCTTCAGGTTTTGTCGCAGGAGAAAGCCCAGACTGTTGTTTGACGGAGCAGTTGCCATCCCCAGTGGTTATTTCCCTCCTAATTACGCAGATGTTGATGGCACAGGAACTTTACGCAGCACTTACAATTATGACGCGTACCTGACCACAGGTTCAAGAACCAGTGACTTTAAGTTTGTGACATCATACAATGACAACACGCTGCCTGCTGACCAGACTCTGAAGAAAAGTCCATCAGACTTTGCTGATCCATTTGACACTCTGGGTCAATCTATTGAGGTAAGACACTCACAAATCTTTCCTCTGGTTCCTACACTTTTTGTTGTATTTCTTTTTGTTTTTTTAAAAAAAATATATTTGTAAGACCGTTGTTTATGTCTTTATCTTGCACAGGTAGTATTGTCGTTTACCATGAATTGCTTATCATATGATGAAAACTTTCATTCAGAAATACCTTACGGCATGTTGATCTCGACTATTTTTCTTTTTTCTTTACTTATCGTGTAACTTACATCTTAGTTTGTTATTTGCGGGTGCTATTTTTCGTAATTTTGTATATTGTTGTTACATGTTTTTCTGGGTCCTTGTGGCAAAAAGATTTAATGAAATAACTCATTCTTTAGCAAACTATACAGTATAAAACAATGCGGACTTATGCCATGGTTAACTTATTGTAATTGTTTGCTTTTATCAAAATAACTAATTCACACTATTGAAGAGCACGTGGCTGCGCGTATAGCAGAAACACATTTTGTATCTTTGCGTGGTTGGTCCTGCCAAATCTCAAATTAACTTTCTTTGGTGCTAAAATATTCCTCAGGGCCACTCACTGTAATTGTTCTCTCTCTCCCCCTCTCTCTGTCTCCCTGTCTTTCCCTCTCTCTCGCGCGCACTCTCTCTATAGTTGTGCTCTTTCATTTAAATCGACGTCATTTCTAGTAATTGTCTGCGACCATTGATATTATTAATAATATTGATAATAATTATAATAGACGTTCGTGTTGTTACTTACTGAATTCTTTTTATTTTTGCCGAGCTCAGCTCTGAATATGAAGTAGTCAGGTATACCATTTTACATTGAGTGATTTTTAACCTGGTATTAGCGTAGGTAAAACAGTCTTAACAGAATTTTCTGTCAGGTTTATCTATGTGACCTTCAAAATAATAGCAATATCTACATAAAACAGTTTGTTTTTTCATTTCTTCTTCCTTTCACAACGATGAAGAAACATTAGCTTAATTGTATATAGAACGTTCGGCCCGCAAATCAAATGCTCTTCAGTTCAGTTGTGTTCTGTGAACGAAGAACACAAGATGTGTTATATGATGAGCCTGTGTATAGGTTATGTGCCTGAGGTAAACGAATGACATTTTATCACATGTGTGTAGACATTTCTTGTTTGCCACTATATACACTCGTTAATTGTTTGTAGTTACAAACTGATTATAAAATGGTTACTGGGGAGGTACTTGTTACTGTTCTTCATGCACAAGTGCTATGATGTTAATTGTCATCAGTAAATCGTGAAACACTATTTTTTTTCTTTTAGTTAGCGATTTCTCGTAGTTTTGGTGTTTTCAATTAGCTTGTGTTTTGAAACACCAATTCAACGTTTATTTAACGATAAGTGAACATAACTTGTGTTTTCAGACATCGACAAACATATTTAATCACCTAGTGTAAGGATAAAAGGCAACTCGTGGTGTCGCTGTTGGCTGATAGCACACTGACACACACACCACTCCACCCACTGCTACTACACAGATGTCGACTGTAATTCCCTGAGAACCAGTTACGTTTGCAGACATGTTTCTCCGTGTTTCATCGTGATATTACACTTTGGATTGTTGAATGTTTACGAATCACGTTGTTGTTTTTGCTCTGGAAAGTGCATCAGAAGCACTGCGGTCACGTTTTTGTATCAGGATGGGAGACAAAGGATTTTCAGGGTTAAGACTGATTCTCCGGTCTGCTTTGTTTGTTGTAACGCTGCGCCTGGTTTATGGGGACCTGAGTTACTCTATTCCAGAAGAAATGAAACGAGACTATGTCATTGGAAACGTCGCGAAGGACCTCAGTGTTAATTTTGGAACCTTAGCTTCACGACAAGCCCGTGTTGATTTTGAAGGATCTCGGAAAAGGTACTGTGAAATTAATATGAGAACCGGAGATTTGATCACATCGGAGAGAATTGACAGGGAAAGCCTTTGCGGGAAGAAACCTTCTTGTGTTCTAAAAGTAGATCTGGTGTTAGAAAATCCTTTGGAGCTTCACCATGTAAGTCTGCATATTCAAGATGTGAACGACAATGCACCGCAATTTAACGAAAATTTGATAAGAATGGAAATAAGGGAGTCAGCAGAGAAGGGTAACCGCTTCTCAATTGAAGAGGCCCATGACGCAGATATTGGTCAAAATGATGTGCAAAGATACAGCCTACATAAGAACGACAACTTTATTCTGGCTGTTGATAGCAATAGAGTTGAACTTGTTCTACAGAATAAACTTGATCGAGAGAAACAAAAGGAGATTAATTTACTCCTCACAGCTTTGGACGGTGGATCTCCTCAGAGATCCGGTACCGTAGCCATACACGTCACTGTGCTGGATGCTAATGATAACGCCCCAGAGTTCAGCCAGGCCGTTTATAAAGCCAGTCTGCCTGAAAACTCTCCTTTAGATACAACAGTGATTAAAGTCAGTGCCACAGATGCAGACGAAGGAGTGAATGGAGATGTAGCATATCAGTTTGGCCATGTGTCTGACAACGACATAAATGTATTTTCCATTGATTCCAAAACGGGAGAAATTAAAGTAACTGGTGTAATTGACTATGAAGAAAGAAGTTTTTTTGAAATGAGGGTAAAAGCCAAAGATGGTTTAGGACTAACATCTTATGCTAGAGTTTTAATAGATGTGACTGATGTAAATGATAATACACCATTTATATACCTGAAGACACTGTCAAATCCCATACCTGAGAATGTGCCACCTGGTACAGAGGTGGGCATCATTAACGTGCAGGACAGAGACTCTGAATATAATGGACAGGTCCGCTGCTCCATCCAGCAGGGTGTCCCCTTTAAGTTGGTTCCTTCTATTAAAAACTATTATTCTCTGGTGACCACAGGGAAACTGGACCGTGAACTAGTGTCTGATTACAACATTACAATCACTGCCACTGACGAGGGCTCTCCACCACTGTCCTCTTCTAAAAGTGTTCAGTTATCTGTAGCTGACATCAACGACAACCCACCTGTGTTTGATAAGCAGTCGTACAGCGCATATGTGAGTGAGAATAACAAACCTGGCTCCACTTTATGTTCCGTTAGTGCTCGAGACCCCGACTGGAGACAGAACGGTACAGTGGTTTATTCTCTGTTAGCTGGTGAGGTGAACGGTGCCCCGGTGTCCTCCTATCTGTCTGTGAACGGAGACACGGGTGTGCTCCATGCTGTGAGGTCGTTTGATTATGAACAGTTCAGGAGTTTTAAAGTCCACGTGATGGCCAGAGACAACGGTTCTCCTCCACTCAGCAGCAACGTGACCGTGAGTGTGTTCATCTCAGATGTGAATGACAACTCTCCTCAGATCCTGTATCCCTCCCTGGAGGGCAACTCCTTCATGACCGAGCTGGTCCCCAAAGCTGCACACGGAGGCTCTCTGGTGTCCAAAGTGATCGCGGTGGACGCGGACTCCGGACAGAACGCCTGGCTGTCCTATCATATATTCAAATCCACTGATCCGGGACTTTTTACCATTGGTGTCCACAGCGGAGAGATCAGGACACAGCGAGACATTTCTGAATCTGACAGCATGAAACAGAACCTTGTAGTGGCAGTGAAAGATAACGGACAGCCCTCTCTGTCTGCCACCTGTTCCATGTATTTACTAATTTCTGATAACTTGGCGGAGGTGCCAGAACTGAAAGATCTGTCTTATGATGAGAAGAATTCCAAACTGACCTCTTATCTGATCATCGCGCTGGTGTCTATGTCTACGTTTTTTCTGACTTTCATCATCATCATCCTGGGTTTGAGGTTTTGTCGCAGGAGAAAGCCCAGACTGTTGTTTGATGGAGCAGTTGCCATCCCCAGTGGTTATCTCCCTCCTAATTACGCAGATGTTGATGGCACAGGAACTTTACGCAGCACTTACAATTATGATGCATACCTGACCACAGGTTCAAGAACCAGTGACTTTAAGTTTGTGACATCATACAATGACAACACGCTGCCTGCTGACCAGACTCTGAAGAAAAGTCCATCAGACTTTGCTGATGCGCTTGAAGATCTCGAAACTCCAATAGAGGTAGGATGCTGAAATAACTGGGTTATCAAAATCGCAGTGTTTTGTTATGTCTTTAAGTTTTTACATTTATAGTATTGTCTTTGAAGTCCATAAGATTTTGCTGATGCATTTGAAGAATCAGATGCGTCTCTAGAGGTATGACTTACTTACTGGTGTTAAATTTATAAATCTGTTGGGGATAAATTTGCACCTTAACCAATCAAACTTTCTTGTATAGATATTCAGAATCTTTTTTAGGTTTTTAATTCCATATATTTTATTTCATTTAATATTAATGAAAGCAGTCATATTGTAGTCAGATACTGCCTTAGTAGAAACAGTGTCCTTAAATCTATTTTTATGTCACTATAATGCATTTTAATTTTCTCTTCTGAACTATGAACTTCAGCACGTGTATTAGAAGCTGCAATTCATTACACAATAGAAAGATTTAGGGGAATGATAATTAAGAAAAAAACATTCGGCTATAGAAATGGAAAAAGAATTGACTTTATTTGTCAGGTTTTACTTTTTCCAAGTCCAGAATTAGAAATGAACTTTTCCCATTTCAAAAGATGTATTAACCATATAATGCCAGAGAGAGACTCCAAAGTGATGGAGTCTTTCTCTGGCATTATACTGTTAATAGAAGTTAGTAATAGATATCAAAAGCACAAAATTCTATGCAGAAGATATTGCTGATATATGAACTATCATAATTCAGATTGACATGTTAAAGTTCAAATTGCTGTTTGTTTGGTTTTCTTAGGTTCTTAACTCAACAAATTAAAAAACAACAAAGTAACAAACACTCACCTTTCCATGGACTTCATAACCTTCCACCAGGTTGAAAAAAGTGTCATCACCCTGTCCTTTAGAGATTCACTTACAGTACAAGAATGCTTGTTGTTTTTAAAATCTACGGTATTATTCAGATGGTAATTCTCAATAGTAATCATGGGTTATTTCCTTTCCAATGAGGTTACATTTGCCCGTACTGATAAATGGACCCTCACGAATTAGGAAAACACTTGATTAAGCTCAATATTGTCATTCATTTTATTTCTCTGATGAATATTTGCCCTGGCTTGTGATTTGTGGATGATATTTAAAGCTTCTTAAGTTGATTTTTCATGTTTTTATACTTCTTACTCTACCCGAAGATTAGTGCTTATGTTTGTATTTACTTTACTTATGCATTTTCCATTTTTTTAGGGAGAATGCGCACCAGTGAAATGGTAATTGAACGTGGACGTTACTGGGACTACTAATTTTCTTTAGTAATTAATGTTTTTACCAGTCGAAAAATGTTGCCTACCCAGATCGGTATTAAAATATGAATTGACAATACATTTAGCTGTAACCCCCCCCCCCCCCCTTTTTTTTTTTTAAGAAGTGTGCTGTGTGTGCTGTGGTCATAAAGGAAATCAATGCTTTGTCTGCAAGTTAAATATTTCACTTGCAGACAACGCATATGAACTCAGAGGGTCGCTGTTTACCAGCAGTGGAAACATACCTCCATCCATAGCTCTTGGTTTGTTAGTGTTAATGCAGTCTTGTCATTGTCAAACTGTCCCTTTGGGTGTGCTTTTGTCCACCATTCTCTGGAAATATTTTCGATTATAACTGATGTGAAAAGAGCGCACTTGTTGTCGCACTGATACAGTTTGGACTGTTAAACGTTTTCGAGTGTTTTTCTTTGTATTTTTTGTCCAAAGATGGCACACAGTAGAAATTCGGTGGCGGGCCTGCTATACAGCTTTGCTTTCTTTCTTCAATCCTTTCTCTTCGGCTATGGAGATGTGAGCTATTCTTTTCCCGAGGAAATGAAGACCGGATCTGTCATAGGAAATGTAGCAAGGGACCTCGGACTGAACGTGGGGGAATTATCTGTTCGAAAGGCCCGCATTGACAGCGATCTGAACCGTAAACGGTATTGTGACATAAATCCAAGCACTGGCGATTTAATTGTAGCTGAGAGGATTGATAGAGAGGCTCTTTGTGGCGAAAAGGCATCTTGCATCCTCAAATCTGAATTGGTCTTAGAGGCGCCACTTGTGTTACATCGAATTTCATTACAAATACAAGATATCAATGACAATCAACCTGTTTTTGCGAAAGACGAAATAAAAATAGAAATCAATGAATTGGCTGTAAAGGGATCCCGTTTCCGTATTTTGGAAGCACACGATCTCGATATTGGACAAAACGCTGTTCAAAGATATGTGTTGCAGACTAACAGTTATCTAGTGCTGAAAATGCAGACTAAATTAGATGGAGGCAGATTTGCTGAACTAGTGTTGCAAAAGGAATTGGATCGCGAGGAACAGCGGGAATTCCGATTACTGCTTACTGCACTGGATGGGGGCAGTCCTAAAAGAAGTGGCACGACTACCGTGCATGTAATTGTCTTAGACGCTAACGATAACGCTCCGGTTTTTAGTCAACCTGTGTATAAAGCCAGTCTTCCTGAAAATTCTCCTTTATATACTGTAGTGGTTAAAGTGGCTGCAACTGATGCAGATGAAGGTCTAAATGGTAAGGTGACTTATGAGCTAAGTCGTATATCAGAGACTGGCAGAAGAGCATTTGATTTAAATCACATCACAGGAGAAATAAAGGTAATCGGACCTTTGGATTTTGAAGAAGAGTCCGTTTATGAAATGCGTGTAGATGCTAAAGACGGATATGGTCTTACCTCAGACTCAAAAGTAATAATTGAGCTGTCAGATGTAAATGACAACCCACCTGGGATTAGTTTAAAATCACTATCTAACCCCATACCCGAGAGCGCGTCGCCTGGTACAGAGGTGGGCATCATTAACGTGCAGGACAAAGACTCTGGGAATAACGGACAGGTTCGCTGCTCCATCCAGCAGGGTGTCCCCTTTAAGTTGGTTCCGTCTATTAAAAACTATTATTCTCTGGTCACCACGGGACAACTGGACCGTGAACTAGTGTCCGATTACAACATTACAATCACTGCCACTGACGAGGGCTCTCCACCTCTGTCCTCTTCTAAAAGTGTTCAGTTATCTGTAGCTGACATCAACGACAACCCACCTGTGTTCGAGGAACAGTCGTACAGCGCATATGTGAGTGAGAATAACAAACCGGGCTCCACTTTATGTTCCGTTAGTGCTCGAGACCCCGACTGGAGACAGAACGGCACAGTGGTTTATTCTCTGTTAGCTGGTGAGGTGAACGGTGCCCCGGTGTCCTCCTATCTGTCTGTGAACGGAGACACGGGTGTGATCCACGCTGTGAGGTCGTTTGATTATGAACAGTTCAGGAGTTTTAAAGTCCACGTGATGGCCAGAGACAATGGTTCTCCTCCACTCAGCAGCAACGTGACTGTGAGTGTTTTCATCTCAGATGTGAATGACAACTCTCCTCAGATCCTGTACCCCTCCCTGGAGGGCAACTCCTTCATGACCGAGCTGGTCCCCAAAGCTGCACACGGAGGCTCTCTGGTGTCCAAAGTGATCGCGGTGGACGCAGACTCAGGACAGAACGCCTGGCTGTCCTATCAAATAGTCAAATCCACTGATCCGGGACTTTTTACCATTGGTGTCCACAGCGGAGAGATCAGGACACACCGGGACATTTCTGAAACTGACAGCATGAAACAGAACCTTGTAGTGGCAGTGAAAGATAACGGACAGCCCTCTCTGTCTGCCACCTGTTCCATGTATTTACTTATTTCTGATAACTTGGCTGAGGTGCCAGAACTGAAGGATCTGTCTTATAATGAGAGCAATTCCAAACTGACCTCTTATCTCATCATCGCGCTGGTGTCTGTGTCCACGTTTTTTCTGACTTTCATCATCATCATCCTGGGTTTGAGGTTTTGTCGCAGGAGAAAGCCCAGACTGTTATTTGACGGAGCAGTGGCCATCCCCAGCGGTTATCTCCCTCCTAATTACGCAGATGTTGATGGCACAGGAACTTTACACAGCGCTTACAATTATGATGCGTACCTGACCACAGGTTCAAGAACCAGTGACTTTAAGTTTGTGACATCGTACAATGACAACACGCTGCCTGCTGACCAGACTCTGAAGAAAAGTCCATCAGACTTTGCTGAAATGTTTGATAATCCAGATGAATCTGTAGAGGTAGGACATGTTTTTTTTTAAAATAATCTAATTTAACGTTGCAGTGTAATGTTATGCACTTCAGCTACTTTCTTCTCAGTTTTTAAACCTTTTAGAGGTGTTGATTCATAGGAAGGCATTCACTGGCACGCATTTTCTTGATATTCCTTTTTTTGGCACAGCCCTTTTTGAAGTGACTGATGTGCACGTTTTGTTTCCAAATGTCACTAGTTATGCAGTTATTTTACTGGCTTTTGCCATTTTAAAAAGATATTAAATGATTAAAAAATATTTTACGATTATTACTTGTCTGCAACTTGTTGAATTATAACTTTAGTCATGTTTAAGTGAAAATTGTCAGTCATCACAAATTGACATTCTGAAATACTGAGTGGTCAGTAACATTTATCAATTTAATTATCAGTTAATTCTCTGTAGGACAGTGTGCCTAATACGTCCATTGCTTGCTGTTAGATGTGAAGTTCCACTAGTCAGTTTGATATTTTGAATGTAATTCGTGTAATCACGAGCTCGTTAAACTTGTACTTATGCTACAGATGAAATGTTTTAAAAAATAATTTTAGTACATTTATAGAAACTGTTGTTAAGTGATGTTTACTAACTACGTTTAACACACGGCACATTTACTTAATTAATGGAAAAATAAACAAATTCTCTCTCAAATTTCAAGACCACTTAGAATATTGATTAATTTTGTCCGTGTAAATTGTGTGTTTACTGCAAACGCCTATTAGATGTTGTAGTTCCAGGCGTTTTTTAATCATCAAACAATAGACTAAATGAAATTATTATTCTTTTATTCTTCGTTAAAAATTTCTTTCACTCATTTTCTATGCCCTATGATTAAACACCCTGTTTTTTTTTCTTTTGCGGGACTTTAGATTCTCCAATAAATATTTGTTTTTTAAAAATATAGAACTAGTGTTATTTTAATGTGTTTTTAGAAAAGTCCATCATGTTGTCACTTTCAGAAAATTTAAATGAGGGAAGTATGTATGTCTTTTCTTCACCCTTTAAGCGCTGTCTGTGGTGCTGAATGAAACTTTGTGCTTTTTTGTACTTTAACACAAAATCAAAGTCCAAACTTGCAGGAAAAATCGGTTTCTTTTGTGAATTAAAATTGGCAACAAAACGATTACGGTGGTCGTTGTGGCTGTAACTGTGGCATTTTATACTAGCTTATAACATGTTTATTTGTAATATCTCAAATTAACTCACAGCGTCGCTGCTCACTAGCAGATGTGAAGAGGTTCAATTCCCCACCCACTACCAACGAAGATATTAGTCTAAAACTAGAGCTACCATTGTTGTAGTCGCGGTATACGCTGTTTTGTTATTACTTTGTGTAATATTCCCAGCGGAAGGGGCATTTTTGTATTCGTGTCATTTTGGGTGAAAAAATGGCCCTAAAAAGACAAGCCTCGCTCTGTTTTGTGTTCGGTTTTGCTCTGTTTTTCGAGATAACCGCTGCGGACCTCAGCTATTCTGCACCGGAGGAGATGAGACCGGGATCCATTGTTGGGAATATTGCCAAGGATCTCGGCCTGGAAGTAGCAAAATTGTTCACTCGTAAAGCCCGGATTGATACAGAGGAAAACTACCAGCATTACTGCGACATTGACCTCAAGACTGGAAATTTTGTCATCAGGGAGAAGATTGACAGGGAGGAGCTGTGCGGGGAGAGGCTTTCGTGCATGCTTAAATTTGAATTAGTCGTGGAGAGCCCTTTGGAGCTGCACCGTATTTCACTGCTTATTCTGGATGTAAACGACAATTCACCAGTTTTCCCCAAAGATACAGTTAAGTTGGAAATAGGAGAATCAGCAGTTAAAGGAGCTCGATACCGCGTCAATGAAGCACATGATGTAGATATTGGGCAGAACGCAGTCAAAGAATACAGTTTACAAAAGAATGACCATTTTGTTTTATCTGTTCGAGAAGATGCTGATGGGACTAAGAGCATCGAGCTGGTGCTAGATAAAGAGCTAGACCGCGAAAAGGAGCACGATTTAAATTTCATCCTGACTGCAGTCGATGGTGGAAATCCACAGAGGTCAGGAAGTGCCGTTATACACGTTACTGTGTTGGATGCTAACGATAACGCGCCAGTGTTTGACCAGGCCGTTTACAAAGCCAATCTACCTGAAAATTCAAATCTTAACACTTTAGTTGTAATTGTAAGCGCAACTGATGCAGATGAAGGAGTGAACGGAGAGGTGTCGTACGAATTTAATCGCATCACAGAAAGAGCTAAAAGGGTTTTTTCACTGGACAGTAAAACAGGAGAGATAAAGGTCACAGGAATGCTTGATTTTGAGACAAATTCAAAATATGAGATGCGTATAGAGGCCAAAGATGGTTATGGGCTTTCATCCGACGCTAAAGTAATGATCGATATCACCGATGTTAATGACAATGCACCAGTAATATATATAAAGTCACTAATGAACCCCCCTGCAGAGAACGTGCCGCCTGGTACAGAGGTGGGCATCATTAACGTGCAGGACAAAGACTCTGAGTATAATGGACAGGTCCGCTGCTCCATCCAGCAGGGTGTCCCCTTTAAGTTGGTTCCTTCTATTAAAAACTATTATTCTCTGGTGAGCACAGGACAACTAGACCGCGAACTAGTGTCTGATTACAACATTACAATCACTGCCACTGACGAGGGCTCTCCACCTCTGTCCTCTTCTAAATGTGTTCAGTTATCTGTAGCTGATATCAACGACAACCCACCTGTGTTTGAGGAACAATCGTACAGTGCATATGTGAGTGAGAATAACAAACCGGGCTCCACTTTATGTTCTGTTAGTGCTCGAGACCCCGACTGGAGACAGAACGGTACAGTGGTATATTCTCTGTTAGCTGGTGAGGTGAACGGTGCCCCTGTGTCCTCCTATCTGTCTGTGAACGGAGATACGGGTGTGATCCACGCTGTGAGGTCGTTTGATTATGAACAGTTCAGGAGCTTCAAAGTCCACGTGATGGCCAGAGACAATGGTTCTCCTCCTCTAAGCAGCAACGTGACCGTGAGTGTGTTCATCTCAGATGTGAATGACAACTCTCCTCAGATCCTGTACCCTCCCCGGAGGGCAACTCCTTCATGACCGAGCTGGTCCCCAAAGCTGCACACGGAGGCTCTCTGGTGTCCAAAGTGATCGCGGTGGACGCTGACTCCGGACAGAACGCCTGGCTGTCCTATCAAATAGTCAAATCCACTGATCCGGGACTTTTTACTATTGGTGTCCACAGCGGAGAGATCAGGACACAGCGGGACATTTCTGAATCTGACAGCATGAAACAGAACCTTGTAGTGGCAGTGAAAGATAACGGACAGCCCTCTCTGTCTGCCACCTGTTCCATGTATTTACTTATTTCTGATAACTTGGCTGAGGTACCAGAACTGAAGGATCTGTCTTATAATGAGAGCAATTCCAAACTGACCTCTTATCTGATCATCGCGCTGGTGTCTGTGTCTACGTTTTTTCTGACTTTCATCATCATCATCCTGGGTTTGAGGTTTTGTCGCAGGAGAAAGCCCAGACTGTTGTTTGACGGAGCAGTTGCCATCCCCAGCGGTTATCTCCCTCCTAATTACGCAGATGTTGATGGCACAGGAACTTTACGCAGCACTTACAATTATGACGCGTACCTGACCACGGGATCTAGAACCAGTGACTTTAAGTTTGTGACATCGTACAATGACAACACGCTGCCTGCTGACCAGACTCTGAAGAAAAGTCCATCAGACTTTGCTGAAATGTTTGATAATCCAGATGAGTCTGTAGAGGTAGGACATGTTTTTTTTTTTTTAAAATAATCTAATTTAACGTTGCAGTGTAATGTTATGCACTTCAGCTACTTTCTTCTCAGTTTTTAAACCTTTTAGAGGTGTTGATTCATAGGAAGGCATTCACTGGCACGCATTTTCTTGATATTCCTTTTTTTGGCACAGCCCTTTTGAAGTGACTGATGTGCACGTTTTGTTTCCAAATGTCACTAGTTATGCAGTTATTTTACTGGCTTTTGCCATTTTAAAAAGATATTAAATGATTAAAAAATATTTTACGATTATTACTTGTCTGCAACTTGTTGAATTATAACTTTAGTCATGTTTAAGTGAAAATTGTCAGTCATCACAAATTGACATTCTGAAATACTGAGTGGTCAGTAACATTTATCAATTTAATTATCAGTTAATTCTCTGTAGGACAGTGTGCCTAATACGTCCATTGCTTGCTGTTAGATGTGAAGTTCCACTAGTCAGTTTGATATTTTGAATGTAATTCGTGTAATCACGAGCTCGTTAAACTTGTACTTATGCTACAGATAAAATGTTTTTAAAAATAATTTTAGTACATTTATAGAAACTGTTGTTAAGTGATGTTTACTAACTACGTTTAACACACGGCACATTTACTTAATTAATGGAAAAATAAACAAATTCTCTCTCAAATTTCAAGACCACTTAGAATATTGATTAATTTTGTCCGTGTAAATTGTGTGTTTACTGCAAACGCCTATTAGATGTTGTAGTTCCAGGCGTTTTTTAATCATCAAACAATAGACTAAATGAAATTATTATTCTTTTATTCTTCGTTAAAAATTTCTTTCACTCATTTTCTATGCCCTATGATTAAACACCCTGTTTTTTTTTCTTTTGCGGGACTTTAGATTCTCCAATAAATATTTGTTTTTTAAAAATATAGAACTAGTGTTATTTTAATGTGTTTTTAGAAAAGTCCATCATGTTGTCACTTTCAGAAAATTTAAATGAGGGAAGTATGTATCTCTTTTCTTCACCCTTTAAGCGCTGTCTGTGGTGCTGAATGAAACTTTGTGCTTTTTTGTACTTTAACACAAAATCAAAGTCCAAACTTGCAGGAAAAATCGGTTTCTTTTGTGAATTAAAATTGGCAACAAAACGATTACGGTGGTCGTTGTGGCTGTAACTGTGGTATTTTATACTAGCTTATAACATGTTTATTTGTAATATCTCAAATTAACTCACAGCGTCGCTGCTCACTAGCAGATGTGAAGAGGTTCAATTCCCCACCCACTACCAACGAAGATATTAGTCTAAAACTAGAGCTACCATTGTTGTAGTCGCGGTATACGCTGTTTTGTTATTACTTTGTGTAATATTCCCAGCGGAAGGGGCATTTTTGTATTCGTGTCATTTTGGGTGAAAAAATGGCCCTAAAAAGACAAGCCTCGCTCTGTTTTGTGTTCGGTTTTGCTCTGTTTTTCGAGATAACCGCTGCGGACCTCAGCTATTCTGCACCGGAGGAGATGAGACCGGGATCCATTGTTGGGAATATTGCCAAGGATCTCGGCCTGGAAGTAGCAAAATTGTTCACTCGTAAAGCCCGGATTGATACAGAGGAAAACTACCAGCATTACTGCGACATTGACCTCAAGACTGGAAATTTTGTCATCAGGGAGAAGATTGACAGGGAGGAGCTGTGCGGGGAGAGGCTTTCGTGCATTCTTAAATTTGAATTAGTCGTGGAGAGCCCTTTGGAGCTGCACCGTATTTCACTGCTTATTCTGGATGTAAACGACAATTCACCAGTTTTCCCCAAAGATACAGTTAATTTGGAAATAAGAGAATCAGCAGATAAAGGAGCTCGATACCGCGTCAATGAAGCACATGATGTAGATATTGGGCAGAACGCAGTCAAAGAATACAGTTTACAAAAGAATGACCATTTTGTTTTATCTGTTCGAGAAGATGCTGATGGGACTAAGAGCATCGAGCTGGTGCTAGATAAAGAGCTAGACCGCGAAAAGGAGCACGATTTAAATTTCATCCTGACTGCAGTCGATGGTGGAAATCCACAGAGGTCAGGAAGTGCCGTTATACACGTTACTGTGTTGGATGCTAACGATAACGCGCCAGTGTTTGACCAGGCCGTTTACAAAGCCAATCTACCTGAAGATTCAAATCTTAACACTTTAGTTGTAATTGTAAGCGCAATTGATGCAGATGAAGGAGTGAACGGAGAGGTGTCGTACGAATTTAATCGCATCACAGAAAAAGCTAAAAGGGTTTTTTCACTGGACAGTAAAACAGGAGAGATAAAGGTCACAGGAATGCTTGATTTTGAGACAAATTCAAAATATGAGATGCGTATAGAGGCCAAAGATGGTTATGGGCTTTCATCCGACGCTAAAGTAATGATCGATATCACCGATGTTAATGACAATGCACCAGTAATATATATAAAGTCACTAATGAACCCCCCTGCAGAGAACGTGCCGCCTGGTACAGAGGTGGGCATCATTAACGTGCAGGACAAAGACTCTGAGTATAACGGACAGGTCCGCTGCTCCATCCAGCAGGGTGTCCCCTTTAAGTTGGTTCCGTCTATTAAAAACTATTATTCTCTGGTGACCACAGGACAACTAGACCGCGAACTAGTGTCTGATTACAACATTACAATCATTGCCACTGACGAGGGCTCTCCACCTCTGTCCTCTTCTAAATGTGTTCAGTTATCTGTAGCTGACATCAACGACAACCCACCTGTGTTTGAGGAACAATCGTACAGCGCATATGTGAGTGAGAATAACAAACCTGGCTCCACTTTATGTTCCGTTAGTGCTCGAGACCCCGACTGGAGACAGAACGGTACAGTGGTTTATTCTCTGTTAGCTAGTGAGGTGAACGGTGCCCCGGTGTCCTCCTATCTGTCTGTGAACGGAGACACGGGTGTGATCCACGCTGTGAGGTCGTTTGATTATGAACAGTTTAGGAGCTTCAAAGTCCACGTGATGGCCAGAGACAACGGTTCTCCTCCTCTAAGCAACAACGTGACCGTGTGAGTGTGTTCATCTCAGATGTGAATGACAACTCTCCTCAGATCCTGTACCCCTCCCCGGAGGGCAACTCCTTCATGACCGAGCTGGTCCCCAAAGTTGCACACGGAGGCTCTCTGGTGTCCAAAGTGATCGCGGTGGACGCTGACTCCGGACAGAACGCCTGGCTGTCCTATCAAATAGTCAAATCCACTGATCCGGGACTTTTTACTATTGGTGTCCACAGCGGAGAGATCAGGACACAGCGGGACATTACTGAATCTGACAGCACGAAACAGAACCTTGTAGTGGCAGTGAAAGATAACGGACAGCCCTCTCTGTCTGCCACCTGTTCCATGTATTTACTTATTTCTGATAACTTGGCTGAGGTACCAGAACTGAAGGATCTGTCTTATAATGAGAGCAATTCCAAACTGACCTCTTATTTGATCATCGCGTTGGTGTCTGTGTCCACATTTTTCCTGACTTTCATCATTATCATCTTGGGTTTGAGGTTTTGTCGCAGGAGAAAGCCCAGATTGTTGTTTGATGGAGCAGTTGCCATCCCCAGCGGTTATCTCCCTCCTAATTACGCAGATGTTGATGGCACAGGAACTTTACGCAGCACTTACAATTATGACGCGTACCTGACCACAGGTTCAAGAACCAGTGATTTTAAGTTTGTGACATCATACAATGACAACACGCTGCCCGCTGATCAGACTCTGAAGAAAAGTCCATCAGATTTTCTCGAGGCGTTTGGGGAGTCGGACGACCCTCCCCAGGTAAGAAAAGACTGAAATAAGCTTCTTTTTGAGAAACGTGTGATGTCAATCTCTACATGATATTTGCCAATTTCGAGCAACCGTCTATTTCAGTTACATTTTTTTAAATGCTATTATATCAAATGTTCTTAACTAACATTCATCAAAGGCAAATGTTTAGTTAACACCCCATTCACAATTAACTTGCCAGAACATATTGTCAGAAAATACTCAACGATTATTATTATATTTTTAATCTTCTTATCTATCAGATCAGTTTTCTTTTAGGTGTTGTTGCTCCAGTGGCATCAATTTACTGTTTTATCTAATAACTTAGTATGTTATATGTCAATTAGAAATAGTGGAATTATATTGTTTTGTCTTCCTAATATTTTTCTCATTGAAAGATGAAAAAGTTGAACTGTCTACTTACTTTTTAGAACCCCATCCCTTCTTTAAGATGTTACTTGTTTTCCTTTCAGCAATGGTTCATCTTCAGATTAATTATTATTGCACTCTCAGTAGATAATTATCTGAGTAATAACTCACTTTGAACACATACCGTAAGGCCATAAACAGACATAAGAAAAGCCAAAAGGATTCTCCCAGAAAGCTTTAGTTCATCTGTTTATGGAGAAATGTTTAAAACAATAGTCATTGTGCTTTCAGAGGAGGATCATTGGTTAATACAAGTATATTGTGTTTCTTTTTTGGCAAGTCTGCTAAAATTGCCCTATAGCTACATGCATCCCTTGAATAGTTTGATTCCAAGTTAGTGCAGTTTTCCAAGTTTATTAAAGTTATGTTTTAACTGCGACCAACAGTAATGTGCATGCTCTTTGGACTAGAGGTGCTGCCATATGACTAATGATTTGTTACTTTTACTTTTCTTCATTTAAAATGTTGTAACATACTGACAAAGACTGTATTTTTCTTTTATACAAACTGAGCGTAAGGACTTGTTTGAGTAGACTCTGTCCATGGTGCTGAACACATAGAAGGCAACCATACGGAAAGCATTTTGGAGACAAATTTTACATGCTGCTATTTTCATTAAAATTTACTTGCAGAGAAAATGTTAAGTTTAATCGCAGTTTAAGCTAAATAACACAATATTGCAATTTTGTAGATAAATGCTAAATACTGCGTTCACTGGCGTTAAAACAACGTTATAAGTGTGCACTGCAACATGGTTTTACTTACTTCCATCACAGCACTTAACAGA